TAGTTAAGAATCCATGAATTAAGAAATAAATGAGGCAGAGAAGGCAATGCTCTCATTCATGAGACATTTTAGCAAACCCCCATGATATATGTGCTGTGGTCAGCGCTGTGCCGGAAGTGAAAACTGGATGAAACCTGGGCCCTTTATCGGGCTCCGAAGCTGTGAGGTCATGGGAAAGTGCCATTGCTGTTACAGGAACCCGATTCTCCCCTGCAGGCGCCCAGCGGTTCGGACCACAAACTCCTCAGAGCGGCACTAATGTGATATCATTAGCCACATGTAGCTATTTCATTTTGAATTTTAATTATTTAAAATTCAAAATGAAAAATTTATTTCTTCATTATCCCTAGCCATGTCTCAAATGCTCACTATTCCATATGGTTCGTGGCTAATGTGTTGATCAGCATAGAGCGCTGCCATTGTCTCGGGAAGCTGCCGTAGACAGTACGTCCCTAGAGACGCTGCAAAATGCTGCAGTCTCTCTGCCCAGGAGATTTCGCTTTCCTCTGCAAGAGTCTCAGGCTCCCCTAGGATCTATTCAAGCTTCCCCATTTAAAAACTCTTCCCTCATCTCTTATACTCTCATTCATGTAGAATGTCCTGTAACAAGGAATCCAAATTTTCCAGCTGCTTGATTAACTGATTCCAAACAAACAAACAAAACCCACTCTCAAATTCAAACTTTCATATATATCCCTTTAAATTATTTTAAGGTAGAAATAAATTTATCTGTTCAGAAAGCATACTTTAAACTTGACCCGTCTCTGCTTTTGCTTGATCAGAAAATTTTGGGTTTGTTGCTTGGTTTTATCCTGGTTTTGGACATTAGAGCGCGCGCGCGCGCACACGCACACACACACACACACACACAGAGCCTTTTCTATCTGTTGTCTGTCTTATTCATTGTTTTATCCTCCGAACCTAGCACAGTATCTGGCAAATAGTAAGTGATATATATATATATATGTATACACACACACACACACACACACACACACACACACACATATATGAAGAAGTATCCTGTAATTTATGTCATCAAAATGACCGATAGATATTAACAATTACTAATTAACTATCAATTAGCTGTCATTAGAGTCAGAGTTTTGCTAGTTTCTTAAGGAAACAAACATGTCTTTTTATGGCACTCAACTTGTAAAAATTTTTCCTTGATGACTATCTTACAGCCAGAACTACCTTATGAGCTAGCAAGGCTGGGTGTTAATAACCCCATTTTATAGAAGAAATCGAGACAAAAATGTTAGGCAGTGGTTCAAGGTCTTACACTCAGTTCACAGGAGAAGTTGTTCTAGTACCCCATTTTGAAATATGTTTGCCATGGTGGGTTTTTTAAAAAATTATTTTAAGTTGCCTGTATATTTATTGTCTGTAGAGATTTGGTAGAGATGCTGATATACTAGAAGTATTCAATAGGTGTGCTTTGGGAATAGAGGCATTATTTATTGTATACCAATCTTCTCTTCTTACTATGTTTTGTTGTTTCCATGTAGTAGAATTGATATCTTTGTGAAACCTTTCCATTTTAATTGAGATGATTTCAGAGATTGATATACTGATACTACGATCTGATGTGAGTGGGGACTCCATTGTGTCTCTTGATTATTGAAACATTTGTTTCATTGAAATAATATTCAGAGATCTTGGAATTGTTATATGAGAAAATCATACACATTTCCTTGGATTCTACGGAATCCAGGTTCTGTCATTAACTGATTGGCCTCAGGCAAGTTGCTTAGCCTTCCCGGCAGTGAAGGTAGAGAAACACTAGTGTTGGGAGTGGAGATGCAGAGTTGATCTGGGGTAAGATGGTTTGGAGGATAAAATCTAGCTGAAAGTGCAAGTGAAACTCTTTAATGCTAAGTTTTTTTCAATCCTATTCACTCCAGAAATTTTAGTCATTTATTTGTTAAGTAAATCAGGATTTTATTTACACCTTTTCTTTTTTCTGTCATAATTCCATATATTTATGTTCTTCCATTTTGTGGTCTTTAGACAAGCCTTGTCTGTTCAATGTTCAGACTCAATGCTGGTTTTATATGAATAAGTCAAGCATAAAAGAAGAAATTGATACCTACACGGATACTGTATACTTGGTACATTGTCAGTCATTTCCTGGGTCAATTCAGAAAGCATGCTTTTTAAGAAACATTAAATATGTGTATACTCCACTTTGCCATTGTCAAAAAGCCCTGAATTCTAATGCCCATGGGTCATTAGTTATACACTTACAGACATTTTAGGTATAACAAAGAACTATAAGATTATCCAGCATGGAGTCTTCTCTTTACAGATGAGCAAAGATTGGCCCAGGCAGGGAAGGTAAGTAGCAAATAACTAGGTTCAGAGCCAGGACTCCCAGGGACTCAGAATCAGGGAAAACTTCCAAGAGAAACCACACGTAAAGGGAAATTTAGTGGTAAGTGGATATTAGTGAGAGGAAGCTCTCAGAGGGGATGGCTGTGTTGAGGGTGGTCCCAGGCTCAGGAAACAGCACATGGGAAAATTCCTGAGTCTGGAATCAGCAAGGAACATTTAAGGAATGGCTGGAAAAGAAAGCGTAGGATCATGCTGAGCCTTGCAGTTCTAGTTAGAGGTTATCTGCAAGCAGAGCATTGAAGGGACCAAAGAACTCAGAGGGAGGAATAGAAAGACTTTACTGCCATGCCCTAAAGCATCACTCATTTGAAGTTATCCTAGAGAGGAACAGTTCAGCACATGGGCTTTGAAGTCAGATTCTCAGAGTTCAAAGCTCAGCCACTTAGGTAGGTAGGAGCAGAGTTGCCAAAGTTCTCTATGCCACAGGCTACATGTTTGTTAAATGGGGTAATAATGTTAATTACCATATCAGATTTTGTGAGAAGGATAATGTTAATTACTTCATAGGCTTTTGTGAGAAGGAATGGAAAATATACAAGTGCCTGGTACTAGGAAGAACTCTCTAATAAATTTTTCTAAAAGTAGTAGTAGTAGTAATAATAATAATGGTGTCACCCATCTTGTAAGCATTGTGAAGAGCATTCTACTTGTACAGATGCATAGATTCACAATCCCTAATTGACCATTCTAAGTTCCAAAAACCCTAAAAACTAAGGATTTTTTTTCAAAGTGTGGCACAAACTTCTTCAGTGGAGAAACCGGACCTAAATGAATGCGAGGGCATTTATGGCCTTCGTTAATTTCTCTTCCCATGAGTATCCATACATTGCCTTGTGGAAAATATTGCTGTTTGAATCCAGGTTCTTCCCCAGACAATGCTAGGGGAAATAATACTATATTCTATTCTAAAATCCAAGCAACTCTGAATTTGAAAACACAGGCGACTCCCAAGGCTTTAGAGGAGGAACTGTGGATCTGTATTATCTAGATATAGTTATTCTCTTCCCAAGCCCACTGCTGTAAAAACTGGGGTTATCATTACTGTCAGTAATTTGCTCAGCTCATTGTTCATAGGGGTGGAGCTGGAATTTTGGTCTAGAGTTGCCTGACCACACTTTGAAAAATCAAACACATTTGTAGACTCTCCTATATCTTATTTGTGTCTATGAAATTTTTTAGCGTTTTGTATAATTTAAACACTGCTATTTTCTAAAGAACCATTGTTTATATTTCTAAGAAACTGAAGCGTTTTCTCAATATGATAGTTTTCTAGCACCTAGAGGTTTTCTAGATCATGGGCTCATTTCATAATGGCAGCGGGAGTAATGATCATTACTGCTTTGGTGGCAGCTATAATTCACCTGGCACTTTATGTGTGCGCACACTTAGCGAACACTTGCATTTTGAACACATTATCTCATTTAATCTTTACATCAACCTAATAAGATAGGCATTAAATCCTGTTGTATGAAGAGAAAACAGAATCTTAAAAATGTTAAGTAAACTGTCAACATGCACAGATAGTAAGTAATAAAATAAAGCTAAGATTTGAGCCCAGGTAGACAAATTTCAGGCACTATGTCCTGTGTGTGTGCGTGCATTCTCCCATCCCAGAGAACAATGCAGTAATCTCATTCCCATACTCACCATCACCCAGTTCCTTTTGCACTGTGCAAAAAAATTCCCTCACATATGCACAGTGTTTCTTAATATTCATTAAAATATGCACATTACTCTATAGCTTAGTTTTTTCAAAAAGCACCATATTGTAGAAACCTTTCCGTATCAGCACCTATATTTAGTGTTTCACATCTACATAGTATTTCATTGTATGGACATATTATAATTTATTTAAGTAGACTCCTATCAATGCATATTTAAATCCTTTCAATTTATGGTTCTTACAAATGTTGCTGCAAATGAACCCTTTATGCAACCATTTTTTTCATTTAGATGCTTGTGGATTGTTGGGTTCAAAGGGTGTTTGAATTTTAAATGCTGAAAGATATTGACAAATTGCTCTCCAAGAATTCTGCTTTCCCAAGAGTGTGTATTGTCAAACTTTTTTAACCTTTATATATTTAATGGTGAAAATTATGATATTTTCTATTGTAGTTTCAATTTAAATTTAATTATTGGCAAGGATGTGCACATTTTTATATCTTTGTAACACACTTGTGTTTTTATTCTGATGATTCATGTCTTTTATCATTTTTCCATAGACTGTTAAATATTTTCCATGTTGAGTGTTTTTTTAAGTGTTCTTTAGTTCAGAGTTCAGAGTGTTCTTTATGTTTTTTAAATGTTCCTTTTTGTTTTCCTTTTTCCATGTTGAATGTGTTCTTACTGGTTTGCAAGAACTCTATACATATTTATGATATAACCATTTGGTCTGTCCTTTACATTGTAGATATTTTTTTCTGAGCTTATAATTTAGTCTTTTAATTCTTTATGCAGACTTTTTTGATGTAAAAAAGTTAATTTTTGTATAAACATTTTGGTCTTTTTTTAGAGCTTACACTCTTAAACATACTGTATGCTAAAGTGCTTCTCTAATTTATAGAATGATGATGTTAATTCCAGTTCATTGTCACTTTGTTCAGGTGTACTAACAGAACCAACAGCGGGTCCTCTAGGACAGAATCTGGAAGTGGAATCATACTCACAATACAACAATATTCAGTTTCCCCAAGTTCAGCCACAGATTTCCTCATCATCCTATTATCCCAACCTGGGTTTCTACCCCCAGCAGCCCGAAGAATGGTACTCCCCTGGAATATATGAACTCAAGCCAATGCCAGCTGAGACTCTCTACCAGGGGGAGACTGAGGTAGTAGAGATTCCTGTAACAAAGAAGGCCCGAATGGGTGCGTCAGCAGGGAGAATAAAAGGAGATGAGCTATGTGTTGTTTGTGGAGACAGAGCATCTGGATACCATTACAACGCACTGACCTGTGAGGGGTGCAAAGGTAAGCATTTTTTGGTTGGCAATGTTCCCCTTGTTGAGGTTTTACTGTGTTGGTTGTCAAATCCCTCTAATTGGATTCTTCCCTTTTCCCAGACAACTTCCCATTTTCTCCTACCTCTTCCTATCTCTTCACCTTTGTTTAGTGTCTTAGATCTCTAGGAAAAGCCTAGTAAAATACTTTGCTTAGAAATAAGTAATCTTTTTCCTATTTACACACTTACACATAGTTAAGAAATTTATGATTATGGATTTTGTTTTTGTTTTTGTTTTTAAAGAGAAACTTGGGCTCACGGCTTTTAAAATTAAGAAAGAAGGAATTAATAATAGGTTCTTTCAACAAATATTTCATTTAGCAGGAACCATCTTTGAGATGATATAAGGGGTGGGGAGATCAACAAAATTTCTATCCATTTAGAAGGAATAAAATATAACATATAAAATAAGAAAATGGCTCAATATAAAGTCCTATGTGATTACTTTCCCAAGAAGGACACAGGTAATAAGTTCATAAAATTTCAGAGGAAAGAACAGAGTGGACTAGTAGGTTAACCCATTTATCTTTGTATTTCTTCATTCAACAAATATTTATGGAATGCCTAGCATGTGCTAGGCACTCTGCTAGCTTCTACGACATTGAAAGCTGAATAAGAACTGCCCTTGAGTGGAATCCATGAATGGTGTGCCAAATTCAGGCTCCCAGATGTCCATGATTGCCATGCAAATAAATAGTCACATAAGAATAGCTCAAGGACATTTCAAACCTTTGAAAGTTCAAATGATCAGATTGTGTAAAAGAGGCTACATTAGTCACCTCTTAAAAACTTAATGTGTTGTTATTAGATTTTTAAAACTTAAAGTAGTGTTTGTGCCTCACATATAAAAGTTAAAACAGATCTATAAAGAAAATTTAAAATATCTCATTTATGGCCTTCAAAATATCCTTATTTTTGTGCGTGTGTGGAGAGCCAAGTTTGTATAGGTAAAAAGAAAGCTTGTAAATTCTTTAAAGGCATAGATTATGTCTTCTCAGCTCTATTATTCCCCATAGCACCCAACATAGTGCCTGCTACATGAAAGTTATTTGAATGATATGAAAATCCATGTTCATCATTGGTATATCATATATATAACTCTACTTTGTAAAAATATATTCAATCTCTTTTATACTATTTAATTTTTTGCAGCTCCAAATGATAAAAGTAAATATTACCTTGCAACCCTCCCATATTTGGTGGCAATTTTTTTCTTGAGCAACCTGAGTTTTAGAGATGGAAATCTGCTTTTGTGACAGTTAAAGGAGAGTTGAAAGTTGCTAAGAGAGTAGATCTTAAATGTTCTCAAAAAAGAGAAAAAGAAAGAAATGGTGGTGATGTGACCTAATGGAAGTGTTAGCAAAGGCTGTGGTGGTCATCATTTGGTTTATGTAAGTGTAACAAATCAACATGTTGTAACCTTAAATTTACATGATGTTGTATGTCGATTATACCTCCATAAAGCTGGAAATAAGAAACAAAAAATGCTGAAATTAAAAAGAGGGAGAGTTGCAATAAAGCAGGGAGGAAGAGCTAGTGGGTTAGAAAAAAATGGAAGTCTTTAAATGACCAGCCGGAAAGTTGATTAAAATAAAAATAAAATTCTACACTTAGGTTTAAGAAGTTAATTGCCAATCTACATAAAAGAAAAAAGAACTTTGTAGTAGCTCTAGTCAAAAAGTGGCTGGGCCCTGGCCAGGTGGCTCCATTGGTTAGAGCATCATCCTGATATGCCAAGTTTGCAGGTTCAGTCCTGGTCAGGGCATATGCAAGAATCAACACATGAATGCATAAATAAGTGGAATAACAAATCGATGTTTCTCACCCTTTCTCCTTTCCTCTATTTCTAAAAACCAATTTTAAAAAGTCACTGTGTCTTTTACTTTGGAGGGCAAAATGAGAACCAAAAGATGAAGCACATGGAATGGTGTATTTGGGGCATAATTCAAGAGATAATTTTCTAACACATCAAGAAGTCCTCCAAAAATGAGATTTGCTTCCTGTCTCAGATAATAATGAACTCCTCATTATTATAAAAATTCAAAAAGTGATTAGGTGATCAGGCTTGAGTCCTCATACAAGAAATTTCTGCATTGTATGGGCAATTATATTAGTTGTTTTTCTTTAAATATTCTGAATCTCTAGTACAACCGTTCATAAAGTTCTAATTATTTCATGTCTGTTTTTTCCTGTCTTCTGACCTAGTTTATAAATTTTATAAATAAAAAATATGTATAGTCCGTATCACTCCTCCTATTGCTATGAATTGATGAAAGGCAATGTTAGTTCAAGGTTTCAGAAGCACAATGCTATTGGCATTTTGGGCCAGATAACTTTTTGTTGTGGGGGCATGTCTTATATATACTGTGGAATGTTTAGCAGCATCCGTGGCTTCTACCTACTAAATGCCAGTAGCATCCCCCTAGTTGTGACAACAAATGGCAGGAGATATGGTTCAATGTCCCCCGGGGAGCAAAATTACCCCATTGGGAGCCACTGGGATAAACTGTAGAGTTAAAAGTGCTATTATAATGTGACGTTTCTCAAACTTAAGTTATATATGGAGCTTTCTGGAAGTGCATTGTGTTTCTCATGTTGATCCAAATTGCTTTTACTTAATTCCTTATGCTATTTTTTAATACAAAAAATTGTTATGCAACAAGAGCAAAAAGGTTTATAACATTACAGATTTATAAAGATTTCATACCAATAAAATAATAGATTGCTCATATTATGTGCTCAGAATGTTACTAAAGCTTAGGTTCTTTTGAGTTTGGTATGCCTAGACCTCAAGTCATATGAGGCCTCAGTTCCCCACTGCTTTCTACGTTCAGACAACTAATTCACCCAAACCTTGGTTCACCTAGGGCTCCATTTGGCCAGCCTTGAGCTGAGGACATCCCATGCACATTGAATTTACTTTTGCCACTTTTTATAGCTCTTAACAAATATTGTACCTCTTTCTGTTAATGAACTCATGGACACAAACAAAAATGAGGGCATTTTGTTTGAATGGCATCATAAGATGGTCATAGAGATGATCCACAGAATACTGTTATTAATTTTTAAAGACATTCATAAAATAAAAATATAAAAACAAATTTAATATGGGTAAAGGATTTAGAAAATGACCTGGTATATAACCAAGACTCAATAAATGTCTATCATTATTGTTGTTATAGTCTTAGAGCATTATCATATATTTGGCAACACTTATTCTATTTGATGTTGACTCATTTCCAAAAGCCTGCCCACCTTGTCTGTGTGGAGCAGTGCTACCCAAAGTGTGGTCCCTGGTACAGAAGCATCAGTTCAGCATCACTTGGGAAATTGTGGGAAATTCAAATTTGAGGGCCCTTCCCCAGACCTACCGAATTGGAATTTCTGAGAATGGGGCCCAAGAATCTGTGGTTAACAAACCCTCCTTGCTCAAGTTTGTGAACTACTGATGAGAATCACACCTAAAAGGCACCTGAGTTGACTTACGTGGCCGAGCAGCATGGTTGCGCATTGTGGCTGTGAAATTATCAAAGGCGGGGGAGGGAGAATGCTGCTCTCCAGTCATCAAAAGAAAAATTCAATAGATAAAGATGTTGACTGGAAACGCACAAAGTCTAACCAAGTCATGTTTCCTGCTTGGAGAGAAAAGAAAAGAACGTGAATAGTTTATTCTGAAAATCTGATTCAAAAGAAAAATCCCATCATAAACGTGAACACACAGATTTCAGTGTCAATAACATGCCAATGCTATAAACATTTCCTCAGATCCTTACAGCAACTGTGAAAAGTAGGTATTACTGAGCCTATTTTAAAGATGAGGATTAAGCATACCATTTCAAAAAGGAGCTGAGATTTGGAGGCCAAGTCCAAAACAGTGCTAATAGCTTATGTAACATATTTACTACACTTCAGTAGTCAACCTGTTAATTCTCATACCTTATCCCCATTTTATAGATGAAGAAAGTGAGGCACAAGAGTTTAATCAATTTCCTCAAGGCTTCTCAGCTAATAAGAGGTATAGCTTCAAACCTATAGCTTATAAATCTAACTCCAGACCCTCTATTATTAACTGCTAAGTTACGATGCCTTTTATTGCTTGCCCACTAAGTGATCATTCTACTCTTTGAGCTGTTTGTTCAAGGCTAATATTGACTAATGCCATGACCAAAGGAGGAAAATCAAGAGCTCACTTAGGTGTTAAGGTAGTGGTATTGCTCAAGCCAAGGGCTTATATAAGCCCCTCAAGTCAGTAGCCTGGGCCAGGTCACCTCCTTATATGTGAGGGCGATAGTGAAACCTGGTCCTCCTGAGAATTCTGGGACATGGCAGGGTGACTGGGTGAGACCAGTGTGTCAAGGACAACCCTCAGAAACACCAGCTTCAGGATTGAGAGGAAAAATACCAAAACAAACCAACAAAAACCCCTGACTTTAAAAGCAGGCAAGGAGGAGAAGCCCACAAAGGATATAGAGAATAGAAGTCAGAGACAGGAGGCTCCAGGAAAGTGCAGGGTCACGGGAGACAAAGAAGGGACAGAAAAGGGATCAAAAGAGAACCAATGCTCAGCGTAGTTCGGGAAGGAAAAGTTGGAACTGAATGTAGATACATTTTTAAGAGCAGAGAAAGGAGACAGAGCTTTTTCATTGATTGTGATTTGAGACTTTGCCCCCCTGGTGGCAGCAAAAGGACCGGAGAGCAAGTGAGGACATGACATGGAGCCAGGCAGAACCCATGCTCTGTGCCAGGGGTTGACGATTTTTTTTCTTAAAGAGACACTAAATGTTTTAGGCTTTGCACCATAGCAGTCTCTGTTGCACTTGTGCAACCCTGCAAACACAGCCAAGCAAAGAACTCAAGGCATACCTGTGGCTTTACTTAGCTTACACAAAATTGGCAGGAAAATTAAAAACAAAAAACAAACAAAAAATGAGCAATGGACTGAATTTGGCCCATGGGCCTAGCTGTAGTT